CAGGACAGCGGTTCGACCCGCAATGTTGTATGGCGCTGAGTGTTGGCCGACTAAAAGGCGACATGTTCAACAGTTAGGTGTGGCGGAGATGCGTATGTTGAGATGGATATGTGGCCACACAAGGAAGGATCGAGTCTGAAATGATGATATACGAGATAGAGTTGGGGTAGCACCAATTGAAGAGAAGCTTGTCCAACATTGTTTGAGATGGGTTGGGCATATTCAGCGCAGGCCTCCAGAAGCTCCAGTGCATAGCGGACGGCTAAAGTGTATGGAGAATGTCAAGAGAGGGCGGAGTAGACCGAATTTAACATGGTAGGAGTCTGTTAAGAGAGACCTGAAGGATTTGAGTATCACCAAAGAGCTAGCTATGGACAGGGGTGCGTGGAAGCTTGCTATCCATGTGCCAGGGCCATGAGTTGATTGCGAGATCTTATGGGTTTCACCTCTAGCCTACCCCAACTTGTTTGGGACATGTTGTTGTTTTTGTTGTTGTTGTTGTTGTTGTTGTTGTTGTTGTTGTTGTTGTTGTTGTTGTTGTTGTTGTTGTTGTTGTTAATTTGCCATGGTTAAAAGCTATAAATTTTGCCAGGGTATCTGCAATTATTTTTTCCATGGTTAAAAAATGCCAGAACTTAAAAACACATAGAAGAAAACTTATCAGACATGTTTGAACCTAAGTGGCCATGTTAAGTATAAGATGATAGCGAAACAAATATTTAAAAGAAAACCTGCGAAAAGATCTAATGATTTTTTTTGCCATGGGACGTTCAAGTAATTTGCCATGGTATACACCAAAATAATTTACCATGCTTTGTTCAACAAACTGCCATGTTTGAAAAAATACAAAATAGAATTTATGATGGTGTATGCGATAAAATTTGCCTTGGTGTGTACCAAACAAACTTTGCCATGGTTCAAACATTAAGTTTGCCTTTTTTGTCCATGGCCCAAAAAATAAATTCATGGTCTAGAATATAAATTTGCCATTGTTTAAACAATAACTTTGTTACAGTTCGAACAATAAATTTGACATGGTTCAAAAAATAAAGTTGCCATGGTTCAATAAATAGATTTAGCATGGTTAAATATATTTTTGCCATGCTTCAATTTTTTGCAAAAAAAACTTTAGACAAAATAATTTAATTAAAATATGGCAAGAACAACTATAAGTTTGACACTAATCAAAAAGCAAGAGCCGTCACTTCCACCACCATTGGAAAAAATAATTTGTGGTCTTGTATCCAGATTTGCCAACAAGCTAAATATTTGAGTTGCAATAAAATTCCAAAGAACGAAACCTAAAAAGGGTTGTTCTCTAATTCATGGTAAACATGGGAAAAAGTTTTGTGCTGGTGATATGCCAACTTTAGAGCTTCCTGACGGCAGTCGCCCAAGCACTTCCCACGTTTCTAATGGGTGTTTTCAAGCTTCCTGACGGCTTATGCGAGGATTTAACAAAGATGATACGGAACTTTTGGTGGGGGGCGGCACAGGGACAGCGGCGTACTCACTGGGTGTCATGGGACATTATGCTAAGGCCCAAATCACATGGCGGCATGGGATTCCGAGATATGAAACTTTTTAATCAAGCGCTGCTAGCCAAGCAGGCATGGAGGCTAATTGAGAACCCCCAGAGCTTATGTGCGCAGGTGCTCAAGGCGAAATACTACCCTAATGGGTTCTTGGTGGATATGGTCTTCACCGGCAATGCGTCCTCAACCTGGCAAGCCATTGAATATGGGCTGGAGCTCCTTAAGAAAGGGATTACCTGGCGTATCGGTAACGGCTCCCAAGTCCGTATATGGCGTGATCCTTGGATCCCTCGTGATCAGTCCCGGCGACCAATGACTCCGAAGCGACGCTACCAACTCAAGTGGGTTTATGATCTCCTCAATACGGATGGTACATGGAACAATGACCTCCCGCGACAGCATTTTTATCAGCTAGATATATATAGCATCCTTCAGATCAAGACCTCGAACATGCTAGAAGTTGACTTTCTTGCGTGGCATCCGGACAAACATGGCTGCTTTTTTGTACGGAGTGCCTATTACCTGGGGCTTCATGAACGCATGGAGGCGCAGGACTGTGGTGCGTCGAGTATTCGGCCGGACGGACGGCGGCTAGTCTGGGACCTAATCTGGAGGAACGGGGCACCAGCGAAAGTACGTGTATTTGCATGGAGTGCTGCTCGTGAGTCCCTAGCTACTCAAGCTACCAAGAACCGCATGCATATGGAGCAAGATCCTACATGTGTACTATGCGGCCATGCGGTGGAGGATGTACATCATGCCCTGGTACAATGCCCCATGCAGTGGCACTCTGGGCAGCCATGAGAGACTACTGGGACCTCCCGACCATGGAAGACCTGCGTGATGCCGAGCCCGAATGGCTGGTTCGTCTGCTTGACAACCTGTCTGACGTACAGAGGTTGGCTTCCCTAATGATCATGTGGAGGATTTGGTACGCGAGGAATGAGATCACTCATAATAAACCACCGGTTCTGATCGAGGCTTCGCGTAGATTTCTCACGAGCTATATCATGTCTTTGCTTGCGATACAACAGCACCCGGAGGCGGATTTGACAAAAGGAAAGCAGGTGATTGACCTCTCAGGAAGCATGCCAAAGAGCACACATGCAATAATAGTAGCGTCGTGCTGGGAGGTTCCCGATGCAAACCATGCAAAACTTAATATTGATGGCGCTTTTGCTAAGGAAAATGGCACGGCTGGGGCTGGCATGATTTTACGTGATCATGAAGGTGATGTCATATTTGTCGCGATATGGGTCCTTTTTAACTGTGGTGATCCCTTGGAAGCCGAGATGGCGGCGCTGGATGAAGGACTACAACTTGCTCTCCACTAGACTAACCTACCGCTGCTTGTTGAAATAGATTGTGGCGAGCTGTTAAAGATGGTGCAGTCGAAAGATAAAGACCGGCCGAGGTACGCGTACCGGGTTAATAAGATCAGAAGAGTTCTGGCTCAAGAAAGGAACATTAATCTAGCTAAGATCAGCAGGCACGCAAATCTGGCGAGCCACACCCTAGCTTGTATGGGTCGCTCGCAATAGTGCACGGCATGCTGGCTCCGGATTCCCCTAGGGAGATAGCTAACATTATCCAATCTGAATGTAATCATCATAGTTGATCAATGAAAAGTTCCTTTCCCGCAAAAAATAAAATAAAAAATATGCCAACTTTAGAAATGTAAATATTTAGATCATGTCAAAATGTTGGAAAAAATGTGTTGTCAGTGGGCTAGTTTAAAGAATTTTTAAATGTGTTCCTATAACAAATGGAAATGTAGATAGGTTATGTTCAATTTTTTTATTTTTTCAATGGTTTTTGGTAGATGGCAAGTAAAAGTTGTACATGGCAGTTCCACGCTTAAAAGTTGTTGGCAATTTTCATAACAAAACCAAATTATTCACATGGCAAATTGTTTTTGTAGGATGGTGTGTAATTATAAATACTCCATGGCAATTACAACAAACATCACAACAAATGATCTTAAAAAAACATCATGGAAAATGTGCATATCGTGGCAAATCATAGAAAAAAAAGTCCATTATTCATATCAATTTTAGATGACTTTTGTACTGGTTGGGTGGTAAGTTTAGATGATTTTTGCTATGTAAAAGATGGTAAATGTATAAAAATGTGTACCGGTCAGATACACATTTTAGAACTTGTTTTATAAAACAATTGCAAGTTAGACAAATTTGCCATGGCTACAAAACCTCGCTCTTAAACTCTCCTCGACAAATTTGTCATGGAAAATTTCCTCATCAACTCTTTAACATACATCTCAGGATAGCTCGGTATGAAACTATGGAGAAAAAAGTAAGGCAAACTAATCCCGCAACCTCGATAGCAATTGCATTTTTTCTTATAAAGCAACCTCCTACTCCCCTTTGCGCGGCATTTTTTATTACTTTGTTGCTCCTGCTCTGCACGTTGGACATTTTATGCTGCATCTTGTGGATCAGCCAAAAAAATCAAAAAAAGAGAGAATATAATTTCCTCTGCCTTCAACTGCCCATAGCAACCAATAGTGCAGCACCCGTCCGACAATGCCAACTCCCCAACAGGCGCCCCTCGACCCCACTCACCCCTCCTCCGTCATCGCTGCCAGCGTTGAACAAATCCCAAAACCGTGAATCCCTATCATGAATTCAGGACCAGAACTTGAAGATGCAGCGTACCTCGAATATGTGTCATCTCTGTTACTAGAGAGAATTGATGAAAATGCGCGGCGGCTCCATGTCGACCTTCACCTCCCTGGCTGGCTCTTTGACGTCATCATCCATCAATGTGGCTACGAATCGAAGTAGAGGACCACCGTTATCCTTCCTCGAGCCGCCGTGCTCGTCCCGAACCGGCAACTGCAGGGTGCGCCGCCATTTTCCCGGATTCGACGACCTCCTGGCCTCGTCGCTAGCCGCTGCTCGATCCACTTACGCCCTAATGCTGTGGAGTGGCGACGGAGCTGGTTGGATAACCTCGGTAGATTAGTTTATTCGCGTGAGGGCTCACGAGCGAACGAGTGGCTGTGGCTGACGTGGAACGCTCCATCGCTCTAGATCTGCACGCCTTCATCCGACGACCATCAAGACATTCACTAGAAAAAATATTTATAGGAAAACGTCAGCTAAATGACATTACCTTTTTTTTCTTTAAACTGGATGTAAACGACGATGGTTGCTGAGACGGAGAAACAAGGGATTGGCCAACCAGGAGGAAAAGGGGGCAGAATATGTATAAATCGGATGGGGAATATACATCACCTTAACAGAAAATGATTGCATACAACAGGGATGACACCGAATAATCATCCTATTATATTAATAATGTTGAAAAGGGAGAAAAATATGGAATGAGAAAGGGTAAAGAACCATCCCACCCCTTTCCTTCTCCTTCCCCATACCAGCCTCCGCTCATCCTTCTGGACACGGCGCCGATCGCATCCACCCAGAAACCCTAGCCGGACTGACCATGGCGCGGCGATCCGCCCCTCTCCTCCGGCGCGTCCTCTCCCCGGCCCCTCCACCCCCCCTCGCTGGCGCCGTGTCCCGCCGTACCGTCACCTACATGCCGCGCCCCGGAGACGGCGCCCCGCGCACCGTCACGCTCATCCCGGGCGACGGCATCGGGCCCCTCGTGACCGGCGCCGTGCGCCAGGTGATGGAGGCAATGCACGCGCCGGTCTGCTTCGAGACGTACGAGGTCCACGGCGACATGCCATCGGTGCCTCCCGAGGTCATCGAGTCCATCCGCCGCAACAAGGTCTGCCTCAAGGGCGGTCTCGCTACACCCGTCGGCGGAGGTGTCTCCTCCCTCAATCTGCAGCTGCGCAAGGAGCTCGACCTCTACGCTTCCCTCGTCAATTGCTTCAATCTCCCTGGCCTGCCCACCAGGCACGACAACGTTGACATCGCCGTCATCAGGGAGAACACGGAGGGCGAGTACTCGGGTCTCGAGCACGAGGTCGTTCCTGGCGTCGTCGAGAGCCTCAAGGTATGGCGAATTCCGCACACTGCTCAATACAGAACAATCATTGACCTTGCTGATGTAGTTTATGCTAGCTAATGTTTTGCTGGATTGTGATCGAATATACTGTTTGATTGCTAGTAGAGGTACTTAGCTTTCCCACACTTTTGCTGAACACATGATGGACAAGAGACCCTCATGGACAATCGTTGTATTGTTGAAGCAACAATATTCCGACAGTATGCTTGTAACAAGTTTGTTGGTATTTACTGCGGGTTACTGAGTACTTGGTAAGTTGTATAATATAGGAAAAGAATTCTATGAGGCCAGGTCTCACGGGTTAGCAGGTGAGAGCCATCCTGATGGATGACACATGGCATTCACAAATCACAAAGCATCTACCCCACGTGTCATCCATCAGGGCGGGTCTCACCTGCTAACCGTGAGACCTGGTCTCATATAATTTTTTTCCTATAATATATGGCTATTGGCAATTGGGAGGCTGTGGCAATTTGCATAATGGACAATCTAGCTGAGTTCATGGGTTGTTGGATTTTACTGCACAAGTTGTAATAATGTGAAACAAAACTGTAGGCATTTATGATTGGTTTATTCCAACTGAATATGATTGCCATGAGGTTCAGTCGTTGATATATTGGGGTGAGTGAATTGTGAGAGCATTTAGTACATACTTTGATGGATCATGGCCGTGTTTTCTAATTCTGAGATTAACTTTATCTATGAGATCACATGTAGCAATGTTAGGATGATACCCAAATGCTTATGTTATTTGTTCCACTGTTCTAAGTTAAGGTTGCCTATCTGTTTCTTTAAATTGAATTTAAAGGTACGCGAGACACCATTATTTCCCATTGCAAATTGTAGCATGGAACATCTGGTGCATGTTTGGTTCACAGCCCCACTTTGTCAACCCATATATATTCAAGTTTGGCCATCTGTTGTACGTGTCTGGTCAGTTGCCCTGCAGCCTACCTGTCGTTGGCTCAACATTTTGCCAAAACTTGCCTAAGTCTGGCTTGCCACATTTTTACACAAAAATGTGGCTTTAGTAGCGTGCATAATTCACTCAAATATTTTCCTCTCCGATTCCTGCAAATTCTGTCTAGAAAAAATGTATTACATTGATACTTGTAACTTCATAAGTATGCATATATCCGTGTAAAAGGACGTTTATCATGTCTATAAACTCTAAAAGGTGTGATGGGCGCACATTAACCATTTACAATCTTCTACAACATTTATTCCTGTCATTATTTGTAGTACTGGGACAGCGGGTTCTTTACTTTAAGGGTTCATGATATCCATCACTAATTTGCTTGTAAATAGAACGTCTGCTGTGTATAATAGGACCACCATACTGATGGATTGTGGGCCTGTCTTGATCTAGAACTGACAATGCCACAATTTACCGAACATTTGTTATCGAACTTTTGTTACATTCGTTCAACAAAATTGAAGACACAAGTTGGCAATCATAAGAGGAATCTCTGTCCTGTCCTGTCCCGTCCCAAATCTGATCAATGCCCAGCCCACTTGTAGAAAGCAGTCATTTCATGTACAAGGGTAAACCTGGAGGTGCTACGTTTGGAACACAGCATATATGTTGGTCCAACTCCATTAAAAATCTCCATGAGAAGCTAATTCAGTGACACAACTGTAATTGGGCAAGTGAGCATCCGCTAATGTGCTGGGGTATTACAATCTTGTTACACTTTTGTAAGCGTATGACATGTACCCATTTATTGGAAAAATAATCTTGCCTAAGGTTTGACTTCAACCAAACACCCAGCTAAGTTGGTCAAACTTGCCTAACCTTAGATGTGCATATATTTACCAAAGCACTAGCTTTTGTTGAACATTCATAAAATGACTTAATGGTTAACTTGCAATGGTGCTGCATTGCTGCTCATATAGCCTTTTTAATGGACGAAGTGAGCAAAGGTGCAGTTATGTTACACAAGTTATGGTTATGTCGCCCTCTCAAGTATCAATTTTATGTATTTGTTCTTGTGGTTGATTATGTACTGTCCTGGCCAAGGATGAATAGAAGCATTCGAATGTACAGCTTGTGGTGCCCATGCTTTGAGTAGTGAATTTAATAATTCAGTAAAAATATATTTCTCTCTAGTCTATTCTTAATACAAAATGCTAATTTAGTTAAGCATCCAGTGACATTTCCCCTAGGGCTTTTGATCTCACAGTAAGATTTGTCTGTTAGTTGGCATATACTCGGTGCTTTTTCCCTGCATAGTTAAATGCCCTGTCATTGGAACTATAGTTGTTGCATCAATTTTGTGCCTGTTTGCACTGTATTCTGCTTCTGATTTTTTTTTTACAATTACAACTGTTCTCTCCTTTTGTTTTGTTGTCTGAAGGATTTCTTTTCTCCATGTTAAACTCATTTAATGGATTTGCCAGGTGATGACGAAGTTCTGCTCTGAAAGGATTGCCAAATACGCCTTTGAGTATGCTTACCTCAACAATAGAAAGAAAGTGACGGCAGTGCATAAAGCAAACATCATGAAGCTAGCTGATGGTTTGTTCTTGGAGTCCTGCCGTGAGGTTGCGACGAAGTATCCTGGAATTCAATATAGTGAAATCATTGTGGACAACTGCTGTATGCAGCTTGTTGCAAAACCTGAACAGTTTGATGTTATGGTATGTATATGAAATCTATGCACTTCTCACTAAATGTCACTGTATTGCAACCATATTCTAATTGTTCAATGTTCATCAAGCTGATATGTTCTCGTGTTATACAATAAGCTACTATTTAAACCTTGAGCACGCTGTTTGATATATACTTATATTGATCCTATACAGAAAATATCAGTGCGGATCGTTTAACTAAGTTTTTGCAAATGGGGTAGTAACACCTCTTATGTTTGTACCTCTGTTGGCAATCTCATGTTTCTTTGTATGCGCTGTTTTACATTCTAAAGGTTGTCTTGATGTCCCAAAGTTTACAAAACAATTTTGGAAGTTACCTGTTGACTTACTTTTGTTTTCTTCCCTTTATAGGTCACCCCAAATCTTTATGGCAATCTGGTGTCTAATGTGGCTGCAGGTATTGCTGGAGGCACGGGTGTCATGCCTGGAGGTAGAGTTTGATTCTGCTTGTGATTCTTCTGTTTTAGTGGAAATAAGTTTACAATTGGTATAAATTGATTGTTTCTGTCTAATAATAGCCTGCTCAATGTTGCATTTGATATATCTATTTAGCCTTCCCATGTCTGAACGTCTTAGCACCATGCAATGCATAAATACCGAACTTGTTAGCATATGGGGATGGAAAATTAGTCTCTAAATCTTCGTGTACTGCATTATTTCAGGCAATGTTGGTCAGGACCATGCCATCTTTGAGCAGGGCGCTTCTGCAGGAAATGTGGGAAATGACAAGATTGTGCAACAGAAGAAAGCTAACCCAGTTGCTCTGTTTCTCTCGTCCGCCATGATGCTGAGGCATTTGCAGTTCCCGTCATTTGCCGACCGGCTGGAATCAGCAGTGAAGAGTGTCATTGCAGAAGGCAAATACAGGACCAGGGATTTGGGCGGCACCAGCACCACCCAGGAAGTCACGGATGCAGTAATCGCCAAACTTGATTAGCCGCAAATTGCGTGCTTTTCGAGACTAGTTTTTTTGCGCCCCTCGGACTAGGCCGTTAGTCCGGACTGATTTTCGTTTATTGTAGCTTTAGATTGTCATTTTGTTCAGCGAATCACTGTAAATCTTCCGGTGCGTTCTTTCTGGTTTTGCTTCAGAATAATTTGAGCAACTCACCAGAAATTTGCCAAGTTATAACTGGAAACACCAAGTTATAGCTGGAAATAAGATCGAAAATATAAAGAAACGATCTCTTTTGCATCCATAGCTGATGTGAGAATTTGCGCATTTCAAATGTTTCATGAATTAACGCCAAGCAGATAACTTGATTCAGTAATCAGATTGATGCTCCGATGCGACTTGTATAATCATTGCATGTTAATTTTAACATAGTACTCATTCGTTTCGTATAAGGGGTTCACGTATTTCTTATGTTGTTAATTGATCAACAGAAAATGTGGCGCATGCCTTATAAAAGCCGGACGAAGGGAGATTGAAGTCCATATACAAACGGATTCTGCGATACCCGTTGCACCCTTTAGTACAGAAAAAAAATAGTCCTATTTTGAACTTTTAGAAGTACTAAAAATATTTATATCATGCACATATATGGTAGTATGTACCACTGCAAATTTGCACGAGAAAAATAAGCGTTTGTGTTCTTAAAAATTCAGTTACAAGAATTAATGGCTGGAATAACAACTTTTCATGCACTATTTGTTTTCCGAGACACATACAAAAATACGCGTTTTTTTACCCCCTAAAAAAAAGAGACACATGTTTTTACGAACAAAAAAGACACGAACTTTTTTTTCGACCAGAGTTAGTAGTAAAATGGGCCTGTCCAAATTTAGGCCAACTCTGGCCCATCCAACCCGCCTCCGCCATCCGTGTCTCAAACCCTAACAAAAACCACCCCTTGAGCCTCCAGTCTCTTCCTCTCTCTCCCGAACCCAAAGACGGCGAAACCCTAGCTCCTAGTCTCCCCCATGGCCTCGCACCTCGACTTTCGCTACCTCGACGAGGGCCTCGGCGGCGAGCGCGGCAAGCGCAAGCGCGGGGAGGAGGAGGCAGATGCCGCCGATTCCATGGACCTCGACGCCGACGCGCCCCGGCCGTCGAAGCTCCGCGCAGTGGCCTCCCAGTCCGACCCGTCCAAGCCGGCGGCCTTCGGGTCGCCCACCTACGACGGCGTCATCGCCGGGCGCGTCTCGGGGCGGACATGGAAGGAGCCACGCACGCGCCGCTCCTCCGCGCTGATGGTGTCCCGGAAGCCCGTCCCTCTGGAGCAGCGCGCGAGGGACAAGTCCCTGAAGAAGGCGTACCAGGCGCGCGTGGCGGAGCTCAAGGACGAGATCCGGCAGAACAAGGTCGCCAAGCGCAAGCAGAAGGAGGAGCGGGAGAAGCGCAAGAAGGAGAACGTGCTGCGCACGGGCTCGAAGCTGCAGAAGGTCACCAACCCCAAGACGATCCAGAAGATCGCCAAGTCCAAGAACCGAGGTCAGCTCAGGGTCGTCTCCGACGACATCTTCGGCGGCAAGAAGTCCGAGGCCGCCCGCCGCATGCAGGTGCCCGGCCTGGAGAACTGAGTCGCAGCTTATCTTTGCAATATGTAACGCCAATTTTGTAGTAATGCTTTTCAATTGCTGTGAGCTCTGTCATGGCCGATCAAAAATCAAACGCATACTGTTACTTTGGTATGGTATATGAAACTATGTGCTACTGTTTGGTTACTCTGTCAGCGGATTTTTAAACAAGAATCACCATCGTGTAGCGTCCGTCTGTGTCTGGCTTGGTTGGTTTCAGGTGGTGAACTGCCGATGTTATCATTGATCTTCCTTCTGGAATCCTTAATTTGGTAGCTCCTCTAACTCTGATTCTTTTGATTTGGGATGTTGTGGATGATAATAGCTTTGTGCAATCTTCTCCTTTTTGCGTTTTTGGTGTGAAAAGTAGAGCTTCATTCATTTGTCAGATGTGATAAGAACCCGGGAACTCCAGGCTTACTCAGGTACAGCACTCACAAATTGTTTAGCAGTTTGATGAGCTGCAATATTCGCCTCCGGGACAACAAAACACAAATCGAAAGAAGTTAAACACCCACTAAGCCCTTCCATTTGGTTCAGGATCGGAAGGCATTGACTTAATGGCAGCAGTCTGATCCCTTTCTTCGATAAATGGAGCCGTGTGACAGCGCAGCGCAGGTAGTCGCATAGTTTCATTCCCTGGATGGCTAATGCTTAAAACTGGTCAGATACCATAAGTTATGGTAGTGCTCGCTCGGCAAATTCTATCGGTTCAGCAGGGTCTTAGTAGGAGCGGAAGGGATGTAACAAGGAGCAGAAACCTACCGTTAAGGAACCTTGGAAAAAGCCGAAACCTAGGGTATTCCCTGATCAGATCTGAACTTCAAATAACAACCATTGCCTTACGTACCATTGGCTGGAAAAGGAAGGTGTCGTTTGCCGCAAGTAGATCTAGCTGATTGACTCGTTCATAGTCGAAACCTAATGCATCGAACCCTTTGCCGATCAAAAGATTAGGAACCGTCCTCCTTTTACATGATACCCTTGCTGAAGAAGGGATGTAAATATCTCGTACGTATGTTTCCTAGGATCTACTAAATGAAAATGAAAAAGTAGCCAAATTATGGATCCAGGAAGGCTGCATCAGAAGGAAGAGTAGGTGTTGCTATGCCGTTGGTGGGACTGAGACAGAGAGAGGGGAGCATAGCCCCTATGATCCCAGTAAAGAGTTCCAACTAAGCTCTTCTCAGGCGAAAATCTGTTTCTGAGCCCGGGCTCAGCTGATCCTAAAATCCAGACCGATGGCTGACGTGTGGATCCGTGCGCTTACCTGTATTTCCTATCCGTATATCGTGATAATTTGTCCATGCCAGAGGCGCATTCATTGCGACGCATGGGCGTACTGTGGTCGCGGATCAGCTCGACGCTGGATGGCTCGGCTGTGTTTCTGAGCCGTGCTGTTTCTTCGTCGCACAAACGCGTCCACGTCACACACCATAAATGCCTACCCACCATCGCCAGTTCGCCACCCAACTCTCATAGCCAGCCATTTCCGGAAACAAATCAACCTTCTTCTCCCAGGTTAGCCATCCCCATCTCCGCCGCCAATAGAGTACCATTTCAGTACATAATCCCATGATTTATCATATGTATGCAAAACAACATTTTCGGAAGGGTGATCCAACACATTATTCATATAAAACTTTGTCATGTTCAAGCGCTGCAAACAAAACGTTATTTAAGCAAATCTGCTAATCGAACAGAGTTCGGGCAACTATAGAAATATCAGCTGCCATCAGATACATCATGAAACACGCCCCTGCAGATTGAGGTACAAGTGTGGAGCAGTGCTCAACTGAAACACACTAGAAAATCCCCAGATTAAACAACAACACGCATTACAAACTGAAAATTCATAGCTCAGTTCTCATCAACACCCAGTGGCCTCTTGCATGTATTTCGTTGATGGCCTTCTATCCCGCAGTTCTTGCATTTCCTAGGTTTCCTCGGGTTTTTTTGGCACAACCCCTCTCTCTGGCACGTGGTCTTTTCATGACCTTCGCGACGACAAATGCTGCAGGATCTGGTTCGTTTACTTAAGACCTTCATAAGGTGCCTTCCCCCTGTTGTTTGCTGGCCTTCCGCCCCCCTATGCTTGTTTGGAGCTCCAAGCCCTGGAGGGCATTCACACTAACAGATTGCCCACCACTATGGCACTGGTCAGCACCATCTCCTTCAACAAAAGCAATCTCAATGTTGCCTTGCAGTCTTCCACCTACCGTTCCATCCAAACGATCCTCAAATGCCAACCCATCCCTCTTCTCTGCCAATGGTGCTCCACTCACTAGCAGAGCTTCGAGACCAGCATACATGTGATCAAAAGATGCAACACTTGCATCGCCCATCCGCATGACTTCCATGGCTTTAAGGTATAGCTTTGTGCTTCTGCATGTGAATGACAAGTTTGCTGAATTGTCTTTCTGGTACTGAACCAAGTGCTTCGGAAGTATATCTCTTGCGTCTTTTGTCCACCGCTCGACAATATGGTGCTTAGAGATTTCCTCCAGATGAAGTATATCCATGACCTATGCCATACAGAAGCGTTAGCATTTCAGATTTTTCAGATTGCTTGCATTTAAGATATAAAAATGTAAATGCCAGCATACACTCAAGACATGGCTGCACAACATCCCAGTGTGCTCAAACTGGCCACACTCGCAAGTGAATACTGATTGGTCTCATTTACGGTCACCTCGTACTCAACCCTGCTCCATTTTTCTCTTTTAGCTGCATTGTTGTGATCTGTTATATATTTCCTGAACCTCTCCACTTCAGTGACATTGTATGCCATCCCTTCAATTAGGAGGCGGCCAAATTCCTCAAACATATTCCTAGTGTAGATTTTGCTTGTGTGCCACTCTATTGCAAAGGTTGGTTCTCCTGACGGCTCCGCCCTGCCATATTTTTATTTAGCACCATCCAAATAAGTGTATCAGGCAACCGGAACAAGTCCTATGTAAGAAATGTAGATGAAGCTTCCACAAATGTAATCAACAAGACTTTGCAAAACAAATACTCCCTCTGTCTAGGTGTGTAAGTCATCTTACGAAAACCAAATAATCCCAAAACACTTAGGCGCGGTGCATTAACTTCTATCTCGTTTCTTGTTTCTTCACATATCAACCAATAAGAGACGAGGGGTGTGCATGCTTTTAATGACTTGAGACTACCAAACACAACATGCAGTGGCTAGTTCATTGCATGCAATGCTATTAATTAGCAAATAAACATTAACGTCTCTCGTTTTCCCCTCCTCCTTGGTCACGGTGCACAACCTAAGATGACTTACTCACCTAGACGGAGGGAGTACTTACAATCAGTGTCCTCTTTTCCTCGTAGCTTTCCTCACCCTCGCGGTAAAATTGCAACCTCATGTACTGCCTACGTAAACATGCATTGGGCTAGCAGGAGGCATGT